AATAACCTGTGCAAGCAGAGGCAGGAATTAAAAAAAATAATTAGAACAACAGGAAGTAATTAAAAAGGGAAATTCCGCATACAATAGCCCAATTTGGCCTGTATTAAAAGCCTCAAAAAATTAAAAATTGACAGTGGATTTTAGACAAATTAATAAAGCTACACCCCCCACACCACACACACACACCCCATGGCACCAGTAGTAGCAGATCTACCTCAAGTACAGAGGGCCCCTAAATGGCTCTCTGTCATAAATTTGGCAAATTGTTTTTTCGCTATCCCATTGCGTCCCGATTCTTGGGCCCACTTTGCGTTCACTTGTAAGGAACAACCGTACTTATTTAAAAACATTCCCCGGGGCCCACACTGCGCTCCGGCTATTGCGCACCAACATGTGGTGCGAATGCTGGATCAATTCTCCAAAAAGAATTAAAAAAAAGTCAGCTCCAATGTAAAGAACATATTAGTGTGGGGGACACACTAAAAAGGCGACTGAGCGAACTAAAAAGGTGTTAAAACTCATTCAGAAAACGGGTTTCAAGGCTAATAAAAAAAAATGCCCAACAAGTGCAAAAAAAAGTAAATTATTTGGGGGTGAGCCTACGGAAAGAAAAAATTCAGGTAAATCAACAAAAGGTAAAATCATTAATAAATTTCCCAAGGCCAAAGAATTTTCATGTGTTGAGGGTGATGTTAGGAGGGTTTAACTATTTAAAAAAACACATCTGGAATTTTGCCCCTATAACTGGACCCTTGTGGTGTTTACTAAAAAAAAAAAAAATGTAGACTGAAAGTGGGGGCCTAACCCAAAAAAGAGCGTTCTGTCATTTAAAACAAGCCCTAATGCAAGCTCCAGCATTGAAATTCCCAGAGATAAACAAGCCGTTTGTAATTAAGTTGGCAGCAATCCAATGCAGTCTAGCGATGGTATTGATGCGAAAAACCAATAAAAAGTTAATACCGGTAGCATATAAGTCTAAAAAATTAACCTCTACGCAACAGCAGTTTGGAATCTGTGGAAAAAAATGTTTAGCTGCTGTGTGGGCCATTGATGCTTTTGCTTTGACTACTGGCACAGCCCCTCCAAACACCTCACTCTCCCCGAAGTACATTTTATCAGAAAAACCGCAGGGGAAAAAAAGTATCAAATACCAGAATGGCCAAATGGACCTTAATGTTAACTAGCAAAAAAGTTACTTATAAAAATAACAAACAAGCAGTAATGTTACCTTATGCCCTCCTGACGGAAGGAAAGAAGCATAAATGCCCACTTCCAAAAACTGAACCAAAGTTAGTTAAAAAAGGTAAATAAAGTGCTATGCCTCTGGGGGAAAAAAAAGTTTGGTTTACAAATGGTAGCTCATACCATAAGAACTCTAAAAGATATACAGGATATGCAGCTGTCTAAATTAATGGGGAAACTATTTCTGATTCTATAAGTATAATTTCAGCACAGGAAGCAAAGGTCAACGCTCTTAGTAATCTGCTTAAAAAAATGTTGCAGACTGTCTTTATGTCTATATAAATTCAAACTTTGTGGTACAAGAACTGTTCTATTAAATTGAAATTTTAAAAAAAAATCATTGGAAAACTGCTAAGGAAAAAAAATTGGTCCCAAAAAACCCAATGTACAGTGCAATATTTAGACTCTAATGGCACAAAAGTGTTTAATTTAGGCAATGGGTGTATTTGTGTATTTTAAAAAAGTATAACAATAAAAGGCCCAATTAAGCCATGTAAATGTAATGTCACAAAGGTCATTATTACTACAATTATTTACCAAGGTCCTTTATTTAAAAAAAAAAAAAAAAAAAAAAAAGTAAAAAAACAAAAAAATGGTCCTTTAATTTAACAATACATTACCAATTAATTTTTTTAATTGTTTTTAAAAGCAAAAAAATCAGGCAATATGCAAAAAATTTATCTAAGTCTGCTCAGCTAAAAAATATAAACATTTTAATCCACAATGGTCAAATATTAAAATTAAAACAAAATTGGTAATTTCTCATTGGTACACCTCTACCCCAATATAACGCTGTCCTCGGGAGCCAAAAAATCTTACCGCGTTATAGGTGAAACGGCGTTATATCGAACTTGCTTTGATCCACCGGAGTGCGCAGCCCCGCTCTGGAGCACTGCTTTACCGCGTTATATTCGAATTCGTCTTGTATCGGGTCGCGTTGTATCGGGGTAGAGGTGTATAATGTTTTTTAAAAATGATCTCCCAGTGTCACAGCTCTTTTAAATGTAATGCTACATCCTACTGTAATAATATTTGCATTAATAATTTTGTTAACCTATGTTTATACTGCCAAATAAAAAAGCAACAAGAAGTTTTAAAGCAAATAATATATACAATTGAATCGCTTGCAAAATTAGAAAGTGATACAATAATGAATGGCATTAATCATGTATCAAGAAGGGAGAATGTTGGGAGATTTATCTATAATATAAAAATCAATATACATTGTGATTCATATCTATCCATGTAATATGTTATAGGTCGGGTCGGCAACCTTTCAGAAGTGGTGTGCCGAGTCTTCATTTATTCACTCTAATTTAAGGTTTCGCGTGCCAGTAATACATTTTAACGTTTTTAGAAGGTCTCTTTCTATAAGTCTATAATATATAATTAAACTATTGTTGTATGTAAAGTAAATAAGGTTTTTAAAATGTTTAAGAAGCTTCATTTAAAATTAAATTAAAATACAGAGCCTCCCGGACCGGTAGGCAGGACCCGGGCAGTGTGAGTGCCACTGAAAACCAGCTCACATGCTGCCTTCGGCACGCGTGCCATAGGTTGCCTACCCCTGTTTAGGTCATTGAGGCCTGGTATGAATGACGCGGGCTTGACATGAATGTGTGCGTTGCAAGTTAGCAACTGAAGCAAGGACTTAAGGTCAAGGACTATTAGAACTCTTTGTGCAAAAACAATCTTACGTTCCGAGAAAAATATGGAAAAAAAAGCATTCAAAATATCGTATACCAACACTGTCCGGTATCTGCTTGCTCCCCATCCCGTAGAAAAACTTCTATTGTGGGTCTAACACTCCGATGATTAGGCTCACAAATCAGTCCTGGGAGAGACGGGGTGACTGCAGGGGTATGTAAAAGTCAGCGTCAAAGGACGGGCGCCTGGCTCGATGAAGCACGGCTGTCCGTGCCCTGTTCCTGAGTCACTGCCTTGGAAGAGCTCAGAGGGGTGGTTTTTATATAGGACTTCCCATATACAAAGCACATGACAGACATGAGCAAATGAATCCTCACCCCAAGGTGAGGCTTTAATACCTTTCACGTCACGGGTGGGGAAACTGAGGCACGGAGCGGGCCAGTGTCTGCCCAAGGACACACAGCATGTCAGTGTTGGAGTCTGAATGTGAGCTCAGGAGTTCCTAGCCCCCAGTTCTGATGTGCTGAGAGCACAGGACCTCATCTCCTGGGGGCTCACCCACCTCAGCAGCTGCAACAGATCAAGGCCTGGGAACCCCATTGGCTTCGCACTACTTCTGTCCTCGTGTTTATCCTTCGCAGCCCTCTCAGCTCAGCCAGTGGAACTCAGCGAAGTCCCTTTCCCTTTGGTTCACACTCAGTTTCCCGCTGAGGTTCCCAGGGCCACGGGGTTTGGGCTGCAGCTGCCACAGGCGGCGGCTCACTTGCCAGGCAGAAACACCCTTTTATTTGAAATTAAAGGAATTGCGGCAGCGTGCCGGTTGCTGTGCGGTTCTGTAAGAGCTCGTTTGTACCAGGTCCCCATTTCAGGCCGTGCGTATGCTGGCGCTGTCCCTTTAAACAAGGGGCAGTCGCTAACTCCTCCCACGCCCTGTTTGTGTGGGAGCTGAGAATGGGACACCCAGCGCCTGATTCTTGCCTGGCTGTGAGTAGCCAGCAGGGAATTCCCCTGGCTTCTGTAGGGGGCATGTTGGAGATTGGGAATGGCAGAGCAGGCCTCTGTCCTACCTGTCCTCTGCTGGCTTAGGGTCCGTTAGAGAGCCAGTGCCAGTAGTGTGTTAGAGCAGCTCCTCGGGTACTCAAGCCTTCGCCAGGCCCGTGCAGACTAGTCCTTGGGATCAGGGAGCTGTAACCGGTTCTCTTCCCCCTCCCCTCTCTGCTCATCCTCAGCCGAGAATTGGGCCCAGAGATTTAAATCGCAGGTTCTCAAGCTGCGGTGTGCAGAGGTCAGCTGGCCCTGTGGCTCTGGCTCCTCCCCCTGGCTTTCCATGGCTAAGTCCCGTGGCAAGCCAGCTAAAAACGCACGGACTCCTGTCCTGGCAGTGCGTCGCCAACCTGAGCAATGGCGGCAGTGTTGCCCGGCAGTTACGGGAGCGGAAGTGGGCAGCCGGTCGCCAGCGTGGTCCCCGAGACGCTAATCTGTGCAATAGATCCAGAGGCTGACCTGGGTGAAGCACAAGAGGAAATCTCCCGGCAGTTCAGCTCTCCACAAAGGAGAGGCCTGGGAACACTCATCCCTTGTCTGGCGGAGGCGTTGGCGCAGTTAGGGGCCTGCGGCGATGTCGTGTGTCTGGGCAGGGCACTGAATAACGGGACGCTCCGCTAACAGACCGGAACCCCTCCCTTCCAGCTGCCCGAGCCGGAGGTGCTAGATTGGCAGGAAGTCGCTGAGGAAGATCCACTCCTGGGGGTAGCTAACCTAACCCAATGATTTCTCATGCGCGCCCCAACAGTGTCGGTCTAGGCGCATTGCCGCTGCTGCGATCAGAGTTCATTTGGGCCAGTGGCTGCTGAGGTCGATAGAAATAGCTGAACCCCCCTGTTGTTCCATGCGCAGAGCCCCTGAATGCTTGGCATGGCCACCCCAGACGCCCCGTCTTGGGCGATGGTAACGGGCATCATCTCTTTCGACCATGGCTGAAGTTATTGTGAGATCCACCCCCACAGTCCCGTACGGTTGTCGAGCAAGGTCCCTCAGTAGCTTTGCTTAAGAAGGGACTTAAATCCGCCCTCCTGCCTAGCCTAATCCCTCTTTTGTTCCCCTCTCTCCAGTTCCTCAAACAGAATCGCAACCTGGGCCAAACGAAGCAGCGGATCCTGGAGATCGCCAACTACGTGGACAAGGTAACGCCCGGGTGCCCTTGGCAGAGCAGGTTGCTCTCTGTCTGCGTGGCACCGCGTGTGTACAGCACCTTGCGTCCCCGGGCACCAGGCTCACAGCGCTGAGACTTGAGTTGAGGACCCCTCTCCGGACAGGCAAGCCTTTGCCTTAGACGGCGCCACTGGCCTGTCCCCAAGGTTCCCAGCGTTGTTGCGTCTCGATTTAGTCACAGGGCCACTGAGTCTGAATCCTTCCTGCGCTGTCCAGCATGACTTAGGGCAGGAGCAGGGCTGTGGCACACCTGCTCTTCATCTGGTCCCTGCCCTTTGGCCTGTCCAGTTTGGGTGCCTCCCACTGGCACAAGCCAGGCCACCGTGTCCAGGGTGCAGACCACTAGGGGGCTAAGGTTCGGCTCTTCCCTTACGGGATCACTGCAGGTTAGGACTCACAGAACCAGTGTCATCTAGCAACGTGAGACATGAACACGTCGCCCTCTGCCCCACGGGGTGGGGAGGGAAGCGTGGCAGAGGTGGTCTGAATCCAGAGGAGTCCGCCGGAGGCCCAGCTGTGAAGCACTGTTTGGTCATCTTCCCCCCTCGCTCAGTTTTACAGGTCTCTGAATATCAAAGTGGCCCTCGTTGGCCTGGAAGTGTGGACGGAGAGGGACCAGTGCACGGTCACCAGTGACGCCAACGCCACCCTGTGGTCCTTCCTGCAGTGGAAGAAGGCGCTGAGGTCTCGGAAGAAACACGACAATGCCCAGCTGCTGACGTGAGTCCCCTGGTTTCTCTGTGGGTGTCTCCGCAGGCGAGCGCTCTGCCTCCAGGGCGCTCTAACGCGAGCCCCCCCCCCCGTTCCTTCTCGTTTCCGGTGTGCGTCTGGACAGCGGCGGGACCTTCCGAGGGACGACCATTGGGATGGCCCCGCTGGAGGGGATGTGCAGCGCAGAGAACTCGGGAGGTGTGAGCGCGGTAAGGAGAAGGGGGTTCCCATTATCCCCTCGGTCTCTGGGGCACCCCCCCCGGCCTCCTCCCACCTGCTGGGGTTATGTCATTGCTGCTCCCTCTTCTCCTGGGCCAAGTTAGCAGCCTCCAGAGCCGGTGCCCGTGGAATCTGTAGGCAAGAACTGCCCGGCCTTGTGTTTCCTGAGCCGCTGGCCCAGGCCTTCTTGAGCAGCGTCAGTAGCTGTAGGCTCCAGGGTCGGAGCTTAGCGGCGCTCGCTCCTCTGTCAGCCGGAGCCCTTTCCCTCTGTGGTCAGAGGCCTTGGCGCTTGTTCACAGGGGGGCCAAATCCTGGGGTCCCCCTTGAGCTGTGCGACACAATCCTGCCTTAGCCCTGCACCCAAATGTCCCGGAAATTGGGGCAACTCAGAACTGGGGTTGAATTTCACAGGGGGCTGAACCACGATTCCGGATCTGACACCTCCCCATGGGAAGCTCTGGGTCCAAATCTAGGCCCTGATCTCTGACTCTGACTGTCTCCATTCTGCATCTCGGTTCCCCGTGCCCCTCGGCGCTGGGATTCCAGGCGGAGACTAGCCTTGAGCTGCCACGGGCATCCTCTGCTTTCCTCACCGCCTGGGAAACAATCCCAGCCCTACTGAGCCAGCTGGCACCAACTCCCTTATCAGGCCGAGCTACTCTCCCCGGCCTGGATGGCGGAGGCCCTGATGCTGTCTTCGTCCCTTCCCCTCTCTGCACCAGGACCACTCGGACCTGCCGATCGGAGCCGCCGCCACCATGGCTCACGAAATCGGGCACAACTTCGGCATGAGCCATGACAGTGAGGGCTGCTGCGTGGAGGCCACCCCGGCTCAAGGAGGCTGTGTCATGGCCGCTGCCACTGGGTGAGAGCTTGTCGGCGAAGGGAGCGTCTGGCCACGGCTGCCCCGAGTGCCTTGTTCATTGCAGGCCCCAGGGGTGCTGCCCTTCCCAGAGTCCGGCGTAGCAATGAGCGCCGTGTCTGAGCTATCATGAAGTAGCTGGTGCGTGTTTTACCGCTACCCTCCATTCAGACCTGCACACGCGTGTGGTCACGTCTCTTTCCAGTGGCTGGAGGGTATTTAACAGGAGCGCTGCTGTTCCTCAGAGCCAGAGTCTCTGTGTTTCTGTGGTGAGGCGGGGCACGCTCTCCCCACACCTACCTCGGGTGGTTTTGCTGACACCGGGGGTTTCTGTATGGACCCAGCCACAGATTCACCGAACAGGCAAACTCACTAGCCGTTCCCCTCTGAAGAGCCAAGTTCCTGCTTCACAGGTCTTATCTGAAAGGGGTTTCTATCTATCTGCTCCTCCTGAGGCAATTCTGCACCAAAAAATTCCAAATTCTGCACACAATATTTGCTTTGTCAAAATAGCACAACACAATCACATTGTTTTCAGTTATTTAGGTCAGCGTTTCTCAAACTGGGCTCCGTGGACCAGTAGGGGTCTGCGAGGACGGTCCAGGGGCCCTGCTGATCAACTCCTCCCCCTCCCTCCCAGTACCTCCTGCACACTGGGGAACAGCTGTTCAGCGGTGTGCAGGAGGCACTGGGAGGGAGGGGGAGAAGCGGGGGCAGGAAGAGGTGGGGTGGGGCCTTGGGGGAAGGGGTGGGGTGGGGGCAGGGCCTGGGGCTGAGTGGGGTCCTTGGGGGCCGCAAAAATTTTTTAAATCAAAATGGGGATCCTTTACCAAAATGGGTTGGTAAAGTTTGAGAACCGCTGATTTAGGTAATTTATTTCAAAATGCCTGTAACAAGACAAACAGCAAAAAAGACTCTGGCAATGTTTTTTGACAAATAGGTTCCTTACTAGGTATATTAGCACATCTCTATGGCTCCATTGCAAGCGAGAGGGACAGAGTCTCACACGCACGCCCAGTCGTGCCCCCCGATCCAGGTGTGGGCAGGCAGGAGCCATGTGCGGAGGGGCTCAGTGTGGGGGGGAGCCAGGTGTGGTGAGAGGGCTCTGTATGGAGCAATCCGGGTGCGGGCGGCACAGTGGGGGGTTCAGGTGCGGGGGGAGGGGTGTTCTGGAAGCACAGGGGCTCGTTGTGGGGTTCTGGGTGCAGGGGATGGGACTCTGTGGGGGATCCAGGTGAAGGTGGTTGGGGCTCAGCGGGGGGGGGGCCTGGGAGGTGGGTGGGGGTTTGGTTGCAGCTCGTTGGGGTTCAGTGGGGTAGGAGTCTGGATGTGGGGGGCTTGGTGGGGTGGTCCAGGTGGAGGGAGGGGTGGAGCTCGGGGGGGAGCTTCTGAGTGTGGGGTGATCCAGATGCATGGGGGCTGGGAAGAAGAGGGGGCAGTTCCTCATACGGTGACCCCTCCCCCCCGCAGCTGGGGAGCGATTGGGGCAGGAAGCGGGGGGTCGCTGGGGGGCTTCCTGCAGCCGGGGGACATTTCCAGAGGCGGGTATGACTCTGACCTGGCCCTGGCACCGGGGTGCACAGTAGGAGCCACCAGCTATGGCATCCCTAGCCCAGCCCCTCCCCAGCTCTGGGCGCACCACGATAGTGAGTGAGAGGGGCGGAGAGAGCCCAGCCCCGTCCCCTGAGGTGGCGATTTACATCTCCCCCGGCTGCTCCTGACACTCAAACCAGACCCACCTCCCGCTGCCATCAATTTTTCTGCGGGGAAAGAGTAAAATCTGCGGGTGACATTAATTCTGCACTTGTGCAGTGGTGCAGAATTCCCCCAAGAATAATCTACCGTAGGAACTTGTCTGGCCCCATTACTGCAATACCTGAGCACTTCACAGGCTGCTTGCCCAAGTGACCCTGCTCTGGAGGATGCTTCGGTCATTACTCTCCAGTACTATGCAGTCTGGCCCCAGGGCCTGTGGTGCCTAGGGCTGGATATCACTGCATGTGCAGTGTGCTCTCTAATTCCCAGGCATTCGGGCTGCCAGGCTCAGGTGTGTCTGCGCCTTTCCTTCTCCCCCTCGGAACTGGTTGCTCCGATTTAAATATCTCCCCGTCTCTCTCTCTCTCTCTCTCTCTCCCACTCCACAGTCACCCGTTCCCTCGTGTGTTCAGCTTTTGTAGCAAGAGACAGCTGGAGAGTTACTTCCACAAGGGAGGCGGGATGTGTCTCTTCAACATGCCCAGCACCAAAGACCTGGTGGTGGGCAAGAAGTGTGGAAATGGCTTCCTGGAGGACGGGGAGGAGTGCGACTGTGGGGAGCTGGGGGTAGGTTTCTTGGCTCTGCAAGGAGAACTGAGCTGTGCCCATGGGGGCGCCGTTGGCGCCGGTATCTGCTGTACCAGGCGGGGCAGAGCAGGGGCAGAACACCCCCTGGATGGAGGGGGAGTGAACAGGGGACAGAAGCGGGGAGGGATTCGGTTCAATTCAGTGGGCTTTAGATCAGACCCTCTGACTCTGAGCGCTTACAATGCGTTTGTGCCGCACCTAGCACAGTGGGGCCTTGATCTTGCCGGGGCCTCTGGGCGCTACCCTATGGTGTGTCATCAGTGTGAACCGGGACGAGGTTCAGGCCAAAGGCTGTTAGCCCGGGGGTCCTGCCGCTCGCCTGGGAGGGCAAGTTGCGCCCCACCTCGTGCCTCAGTTTCCCCATCTGCAAAATAGGGGTAATAATACTGACCTCGGTGAAGTGTTTCAACCCCTAAGGAGGGCTGAAGAGCTATCTTGGGGAGGGTCCTCAGAAGCCAGCCCTGAGCGGGGGGGGGGGGGGGGGGGGAAGGGAATGACCAGGGTCAGCTTGAGAGAGGCCAAGTAGCCAGCTGACCCCCGTGGCTGGCTCTCCCCGTACAGGAGTGCACCAACCCCTGCTGCAACGCACACAACTGCACGCTGAAGGCCGGAGCCCAGTGCGCCCACGGGGACTGCTGTCAGAGCTGCCAGGTAACCGGGCCGGGCTGGGGGAGGGAGGTGGGAGCAGATGGCTCTGGGTAAGATCAGGTTTGAGGAAGGGAGCCCACTGTTGGGTGTGCCGTGCCCCAGCAGGGGGCTGCGGATCCCAGCTTAATCCTCTAGCTCAACCTGCCCTTGTGTTGGCTCTGGAGGGCCTCGGGAATCCCTGCTGGCTGCTCGCATGGGGCTGGGAGGCAGGAGGCCTGGATTTCCTGCCCTCGCTGGCTGTGAGGAGCAGCGTTTGGGCCCCAGGCGGGAGGCTCAGGAGGGAGCAGAGCCAATCCCAGTGCTGATGGAGTGGCCAATCCAGCTGCCAGTCAGCCTCCAACCCACCGCACTGGGGGGCTCAGGGGTGACGGTGGGGACCAGGCTAACAGGTGTGGCTACCGGGGGGCACGGCTAAAGGGCTTTTTGTGGCTGATGGGACCAAGGTGCAAATGTCTCTCTTCTCCTCTGGCTCCGGCAGCTGAAGACAGCTGGGACCATGTGCAGGGAGCCGGCCGGATCCTGCGACCTCCCTGAATACTGCACGGGGGCCTCGCCCTACTGCCCCGGCAACGTGTACCTGCTGGATGGCTCGGCCTGCGCCGGCGGGGAGGCGTACTGCAGCAACGGCATGTGCCTGACTCATCACCAACAGTGCGTGCAGCTCTGGGGCCCAGGTGAGCCCGGCTCCCTCCCCCTCCATTCCTCGCTCTCGCTCGGTGTGCAGGGCTCGCACCGGTCTTTGGCGGGGGGGTGGGACACACCGAACGGCTCCCAGCTTGCCCCAGGCGCTGCGTCCGACGATGTTCCCCCTGCAGTCGGGACGAGCCTGTGATGTTCAGGCCCCAGGGGTGGCGTGTTTCCAGGCTGGGGCTGCTGCTTCCCAGGGCAGTTCTGGCTGCATTAGGCCTGGGGTGGGTATTTGGGCGGCCCCCTCCCGCTGTATTGAGGTTCTGTAGCTCCTGTGTCACTGGGACGGGCGTTAAACCTGCTCAGCTGTGCTCCAGCTCTTCCGCTGGCACAGCATCCATAGCCCAGTGGTCCCCGAACTTTTTACTTCCTGCCCCCCCTTACCCGTCTGCCCCCTCCGCCCCTCCCGGAGCAGGGGCTGAGAGTGGGGCCGCAGCTCCGGGGGCGGGAGGGGAGACCGTGGACAGGGGGCCGGGGGTGGGAGCTGGACACGGGGCTGGCAGCTGGGGCCAGGAGGTGGCGCTCTCACCCCGCCCGCTGTGGGGTCTGACCCAGGCCCCGGGTGTGTGCCCCACAGTGTGGGGAGCTCTGCTGTATCCCCCACCCCCTTTCGCCAGCCCTCAGTGCACACACGGCACCCCCCAGGCAAGACCCACTGCACACAGGACACCTGTGTGTTGTGTTACATCTCCATGGGGCACCCACCCTTCCATCCCAGTGCATGCTGCATACGCTCGCCAGGTGCACCCTGCATCCGCACGCGCGCTGCCCATGCACGCTGGCTCCGCATGCCAGTGCAGACAGGCTAGCGATACGCAGCCAGTGCACCCCGCCCATCTAGGTACGGGCGGGAGCAGGGAGCCTTGGGGGGAGCCTGGCTCGTAGGCTGCAGATTAGCAGGTGTGAGACTTTGCTCTTGGCCTGTCCCGTTTTCCCATATGGACGGAGAATCTTCTCGTTAGTGTGGTGTTAGTGCCACCTACTGGACTGGGCTGTGTACTGCGGCAGGGATAAGTCTTGCAGTGCAGCAGGGGAAATGGCCCTGAAGACTGAATTCCACCGCGAAGCCACAGAGCAAAAGCGGATCCTCCTCGTCCTCCCCGCCCCCCCCGCCCCGAGTCTCCATGCTGCCTCTGTGCAGCTTGGGTACAATCGCTGCCTGACGCTGGAGCTGCAAGCGTCTCCGGGGAGACCCTGTACCCCGGGCATTTCCAGCCCCGCATTGCAAACCCAGAGGCTGCTCCACACGGCTCCAACCTCTGAGCCTCCTGCCCTCGCTCTGGCTTTCCACCCCCGCCATCCCCACGGCGTGGGATCTGCACGCAGGAATGCTCATGCCGCCTTGATTCTTCTCCCCTCCAGGCGCCTGGCCGGCTCCCGATGCCTGTTTCCAAGATGTCAACACGGCCGGCGACACGTATGGGAACTGCGGCAAGGACAGCCAGGGGCATTACGTGAAATGTGACCGGAGGTGGGCGCTGGGGATTCACACCCACACGTGTAACACACCAGCTTAGTGAGTGTGATCACGGCTCCCCCTAGCAGCTGGCTCCTCTGGTAACAGCCTGCTGCTCACTCCTAGCTCCTGGAGATCCCTGGCAGCTCAGGGGGAGGCCCCATGGACTCCCGGTGCCGAAGAGCCTGAGTTTGATCCTCACACCAGCAGCGTCGGTGTCTGGGCTTCCCTTAGCCAGAACCTGGTTTCTCCTTCCCTCCCTCCTGAAGGCCAGGCTCAATTCCGCCTCCTAGCAGGTAGCACAGTGTCCGATTTCCACTTAGGAAGGAACAATCAGTTGAACACATACAAAATGGGAAATGACTGCCTAGGAAGGAGTACTGCGGAAATGGATCTGGGGGTCATAGCGGAACACTAGCTAAATGTGAGTCAATAGTGTAACGCTGTTGCAAAAAAACCAAACATCATTCTGGGATGTATTAGCAGGAGTGTTGTAAGCAAGACACGAGAAGTCATTCTTCCGCTCTACTCCGCGCTGACAAGGCCTCAACTGAAGTACTGTGTCCAGTTCTGGGTGCCACATTTCAGGAAAGATGTGGACAGATTGGAGAAAGTCCAGAGAAGAGCAACAAAAATGATTAAAGGTCTAGAAAACATGATCTATGAAGGAAGGTGGAAAAAATTGGGTTTGTTTAGTCTGGAGAAGAGAAGATTCAGATGGGACATGATAACAGTTTTCAAGTACATAAAAGGTTGTTACAACGAGGAGGGAGAAAAATTGTTCTTCTTAACCTCTGAGGCTAGGACAAGAAGTAATGGGCTTAAATTGCAGCAAGAGTGGTTTAGGTTGGACATTAGGAAAAACTTCCTAACTCTCCGAGTGGTTAAGCACTGGAATAAATTGCCCAGGGAGGTTGTGAAATCTCCATCATTGGAGATTTTTAAGAGCAGGTTAGACAAACACCTGTCAGGGATAGTCTAGATAATTAGTCCTGCCATGAGTGCAGGGGACTGGACTAGATGACCTCTCGTGGTCCCTTCCAGTCCTACGATTCTGTGAGTTAGCAGCTGTAGGTTTGTCACCCTCACGTGCCTGCCGGTCAGTGGGCGAGAGGCCAGTGATAGTATTGGAGCGTGAAACAGGTGATTGGAGAGGAACTGTTCTGCATTGCTCCATTGGTAGCACGCACCCTCTTCGTGAAGACGTTCATGCCACCCTGGGGCAGGGTCTGGTGTAGAGAGAGAATCGTTTGTGGTCCATCCCTTCACCTCCCTGGCAGGGCTGGTTGACTCATCCCTGGCAGACAGATGCTAGAGGTGGCACTTAGGCAAGTGAGGGGGTCTCTCAACACTGCGGGGAGATGGGTCCAAATGAAATCGCTCTGGGGCCTGAGCATTTCTGGGGAATGGGCAGTCGACTTCTCTGGAATCAGGGGCCCTGGGCCTAGCAGGCGGTGTCATGTGAGATAACAGACACCAGGTGCTTAAGCAGACAACTTGTGAATTACCCAGAATCCCTTGCTTTGTTAAGCTCCTCCTACAGCACGTCCCGATCCTCTCTGATACCGCGGGGGGGGCCAATAACTCGACAAGTTCAGCTCGACCAGCGAGGGCCCGTTCGGTAACCTCGGTGCCTCTCTTCCTAGAGACGCCAAGTGCGGCAAGATCCAGTGCCAGAGCTCGGCCAGGAAACCCAAGGGGACCAACACCGTCTCCATGGACACCACCATCCGCTTTAACGGGCGGGAGGTGAAATGCAGAGGCACCTTCATGTACGCCACCAAGGATGACGAGGGGGACCTGTCGGACCCCGGCCTGGTGATGACAGGGACCAAATGCGGGGATGGGATGGTAAGTGCCCCCTCTCCCCCACCCCCCCAAATGGTCGGAGGTCGCTTTGGCCTTTGGTTCATGCAGAGTCACCCAGCAGAGCCTTGGGCAGGACGATGCAAGACACAGGGGCTCCTGACCCCCTTCGCCACTGCAGCTGAAGGGAATTGACCTGAGTACGGGCTTCAGAGATCCGGTGCCCCCACTGCCGCAGGGGGCATGAGTTAGCCTCCTGCTTGGCAGGCAGGACTGGCTGGGCCGAGGGGCCAGCACCCTGCTGAGCTCCCTCCAGACCCAGAGAGATGGTCCCTGCAGGTCACGGTGCAGGCCTGGTGGTGGGAGAGATCAAGGCTGGCGGGGGGCCCGAAACAGAGGCCTCCAGTCTCGGGGCTGTCAATGTGATCCCGTCCCTCCAGTGCTGAACATCACAGCACGACCCACACGTCTGTGTGTGCGGGGGGCGGGTCCTCGTCGGAACGCTCCATAGCAAAGGGAAGAGTGGGAGAGCCAAAGGGCTGGCCTGAGAGGAAGGGTTAAGAGCAATAGAGCCGGGATACAGGCGGTGAAGGGGCAATGCCCTGGCAGGGCGG